TATCCACTGACATCCGTCTCTATTCTTCCAGACTAACGATGCTGCAGGAAACATGTGGAACTGGCTTTACTTCATTCCACTTATCATCATTGGCTCTTTCTTCATGCTTAACCTGGTTCTTGGTGTCTTATCAGGGTAAGGACCCCTTTTCTTTCTCCTCTACGCTGTATTCGTGGGTTTGTGGGATGAATTTCCATTCCATGCTTCGGAAAGAAGGGCACCCAGACTAGTTTAGAGATTAAAACAAAGAGGAAGTTCTTGCCCTCAAGAATGTATATGCTGATACGTTATAAAGGGAAAATGGGTGGGGAAGGCAAAGGGAAAGAAAAGCTAGGATTCCATGGTCCTTTACAGCTCTTTTTAATGGTGGGATAAATATCTGAACTATGTGGAATTATGTTTTCTAGGGGAAAGGTAGCACTGCTGAAGAGGTGGAGCCAAAACCTGGAAACATAAAGAGCTCTTCTTTTTTAAAGGACAACCTGCACAATTAAAATCCACCAAAAAAGTGTTAGTTAAGGGAATATTAAGGGAAGGACTGCTGTTCAGTCGGTCTATTCTGCTATTCAGTCAGTCAAATCCATTTTAACTGAGAATCAGACTTGAATGCATTTGCATGTGAGAAAAGGAAACAGTGGTTAGACCCAAGCTATAGGGTTGGGAAAATGGTGAGTGGAAGGTAAGACTTTGTTAGTTCCCCATGCTTAAACTGGAGCAGGAAGTTGCATTTTAAATCTATTGTCATCGTTCTCCCACCGAGGAGCAAGATGTGGAAGAACACACTCTCATGAGCAAAAGAGGGGTTTGGGGAAATCAATTCCTTGGGGAAATGATCTATTTTGTTGCCAGATGACCATCTAACAGGAAAGTATTGAATTCTAAGTCCGATTAGAGACATTTTAGAGACAGGTTGGTCACACATGCTCAATTTATTATTTCTGTTTATAAATCAATATTCTCCTTTTCTTTCTCCAAATAAAATTGGCTACTTTTCCCCAGGAAAGTGGGAATAATTTGATACCTGAAGCCCGGACAGTCTAGTGATGAATGGGGGTGCTAATAGTTGCTCACACGAAGAGAGTTTGACAATGGAGGCAGAGTCCCAGAGAGGTTGGGGCTTTCCTTCATGGTGGGTGTGGAAGCGAAGGCTGGACAATCATTTGTCCAAAAGGCTTTTAATCCAGATTCCGACGCTGAGCAAGGGACAGACTACAAGGCCCTGACGGTCCCTTCCAATGCTATAATCCTATGGGACAATTCACATGCATATAGAATTCCTTCTTCATCTTGATCCTCACTACCAGCTCTAACACAACAGAAACATCAAGGCAGCTGCAAAACGAGGGAATGAGTATAAATCTAACACGTCCTTGTGCACCGTTATAAGCAGCGATGCTAATGCCATTTTGTTAAGGTATCCATTTTCTAGCAAAGATCAGAACAGTTTTAGTGGAGCCGGGGTCTGTAAAATCGTGATGTGTCCCCTTCCCCTTTTAATGAAGACAGATGGCACAGGGGATGCATTGTCCTCTCGCTGCCTCTGGGTCCCTTTCTACATTCTGGATTGGTCTGATCTTCCACCTGGTGGGTATCTAGAGTCTGGTGTGCTGCTGTTGAGTTTCAGTAGAAATCTGTTCCTCCATTCCCCAGCTCTGCTGGGCTGATATGAATAATGCAGGTGCTGCAGTATGAAGCTGTGTTTTTTAAAGGGAAGGGATTTCGGAGCAAGATGCTAGGGTTGGTTGCTCCAAGAAGGCTTCTTAGGACAATCTTCCTAACCTCCTCCTTGGCTCAATTCCCCTCCAACACAGCCTCATGTGTCTCAGTCAAGAAGGACAGGACTCTAATCCTTTTGCCTGAGAGAGTACTTGGAAGAATCGGGACACGTGTGTGTGTGTTTCCCTCTTCACACTCTCTCATGATATATGCGTACCTGTGCATTTTTATGTTGTCATCTGCATTGCAAAATTGGGAAGAGTTCAGATCAAAGCATCTGGAAATGGGAATTGAAGGGATGTTTTCCATTGCTACATGACTGATGCAGTTGGAAAGAGAGTCCCTCCCTTTCTTTTTCTTCTTCTCTTTCTCCCCCAACACATGGTTGGCTTTGTCCTATCCATGTTTATTGAAGGAAACAAGTTTGGGGTCAAAGTTGGTTCCCAAAAGGAACTCTCCTTAACTAGCTCAAACATGGCTGAAGATTCTCAGATACGCCACATGGCATGGCTAGTTAAGACAATTTATTATGCGCTAAGACAGAAGTTGCTCTAAACAGATGATTGTCTACAAGAAGAGTGAAATTGCAGACCTTCTTATAACCTCCTGCTTCAAACTTGGTGCTTCTTTCTCCTGACCTTCTCATGGCTTAATGGAAAACCTGTTTGCATGTCTCGGTGGTGCTAGGTGGCAGTTGGTTATCAACATATTCAGCCCTAATTCCAAAGGCATCTGCCATATTCAACCGAACATGGCAGCACAGATCAAATAAAACAGCAAAGGTGATAGGAGGTTGACTGTAGCCCTTATTGAAGCACTTGACTTACATGGAGAAGGCTCCAGCTTTGATCACTGGCATTTTCAAGTTGGGTTGTCATGGGAAAGTCTGCAAGTCAGAAACCCTAGAGAAATTTGGCCAGTCAGTATCAGCGTTACTGGCCTGGATGGACCACGTATCTTACTTGACGTAAAGTAGCTACTGATGACCCTAGATTTTACCAGATTACCAGCTGTAGTTCAGTGGGCAGAGCACTTGATTTGCATGGATCATGTCCCCATTTTGATTTTCAGCATCTTCAAGACAGGAAATAATTCTGCTTGAAATCCTAGGAAGTTGCTGCCTATCAGAGTAGACAATGTGGATCTGGCTGGACCAGTGATCTGATCTGATCTAAGACAGCTTTCTGTAACTGTAGGCTTTAAGAGATAGATCATAGCTTAGTGGTAAGATATCCGTTTTTCATGAAGAAGTTCAAGGTTTGAATGCTGGCATCTTCCAGTGGGGCTGGGAAAGTTTTCTCCTTGTGGTGCTGGTAAAATGTTTAGCTTGATGGACTGATGATCTGACGTTTCTTCTAGGATAGGCCTATTACTCAGTAGTAGATCTCAAGTGGAATTCTTTCTCTCCTTTTTTTCTCTTGTCACTTTCACCTCCTTTCTCTGCTCAGACCTTAGCTTTGTGGCATCAGGAGGTCATATAGCCCTCATTTAATCATATTGCTATACATTCAAACTCTGTCTTCCTTCTTAAACATCATTCTTTGTGCAGTAACAATAGGTTCCAAATTTAGCTTCTTGCACAATCCATCTATCTCTCTTGGCCTACTTTAGTGTCCCCACCTGCAGAATTCATTTCAGCTCAACTTATTGCCCATTTTTGAGTGGATGGGGAAGAAAAAGGAAGGGGAAGGGAGAAAAGGAGCAAAGGGAGAGATTTGGAGCAAGCACACTTCTCTGATTTACAGAACTAGCATGAGCTGCTTGTAGGTTGCACCATTCAATGCTGAAGCCTAGACCAACAAAAGAGGTCCTATACACACACATATGCAAATAAGATATATATAAAATGCTGCTTTATAGCCTCTTTAGTTGCAGGACTACCCCTGTCCAGAGAACCAGCTATTTTCTCCTTCAGAAGATTCTGCCTACTCATTTCCCCTCCGTTTTAATTTCCAGCAACTACTTAATATTCAAGGACTTCAGAATACGCTTTATTTTTTCCCCCTGGTCTATCATTTTCTGTGTTTTATAAAGATAATATACATTGTCCTTATTTGTCTATCGCCCACGCAAACCTCAGAGTTTCCCTGAGTTGGATCTCTTTTAGCTCTATTGATTTTCGCCCTCACCAGTTAGACGGAGTTGATCTGTAGCAATATTTATTTCTTTATTTGATTTCTATGGCTGCCTATTGCAGAACAAGTGACTCTGGGACAATCATAACATTAATTAAAAACCAAACCCAAATAAAATCTATTTATTTATTTATTTAATCAAATTTCTCCCCCGCCCTTCTCCCCTCAATGGGGGACTCTGGGCAACTTACAAAAAACATTAAAACCT